TCTGTATCTATCAAATTAAATATGAGTTCCTACTGATGTCCCCAACTCTAATCCATTACTATATAGATCATTCTGTGTGGTATAGATCATTACTTATTTGTAAATTCCCACTCCAACAATGAGAAACCTGGTTTCCACCATCCACCATTCACTTACTTAATTGTTCCATTCCAGTATGTATGTATAGAGGTATCAGCACTGTTAATCTGTGTCTCGGTGGGAAACAACTTTATCAACTAGAGTACACCGCTTATGTGCAGCTTCTTTTGCTTTTAGTTTTGACAGATTTAATTCATTTTCAAAGTTACCTGTAGCAGCACCTTTCCCTCCCTTCCCCCTTCAGTGAGTTTTTTCATACATTTGCAAACAGTTTGATTTCTTTTCTGAGATTCCCCCAATCTCCTAAATTATTTCTTTTTAATTTGCATACATTAAAGTCCATTCTTTGTGTTGTAAAGTTCTATGGCTTGACAGACGAATAATGTCATGTAGCCACCATTATCATATCATACAGAATAGTTTCACTACCCTAATAATACCCTGTACTTCACCAATCATCCCTTCCTAAACCCCTGTAACCACTGATCTTTCTACTGTCTCGTAGATTTGCCTTTTCCAGAATGTTATATAGTTAGGATCATACAGTGTGTTGCATTTTCAGACTGGTTTCTTTCTTAGCAAAATGCATTTGTTTTCTCCATAGCTTTTTGTGTCTTGATAACTCATTTATTTTCATTGCTGAATAGTAGCCCATTGTATGGAAGTACCACAGATTTTGTTGCTTTCTAATACAATGTATAACTCTATTCACTCATTTTCTATGATGGAAAGGTAGGCTACTTTCTTTTTCTTTATTTCTTCCTTGGTTCCCCTTCCTGAGGGAGGAGCATATATACTTCCCACTCTATTCATGTCATATAGCAAAGCTTGACATCTTTTGGCCAATGAAAAATGAAGATGTTTCAAGAGCTATTACATGTACCTGTTTTCATATCAGCCATATGACTGGCATGTCTTACATGGAGGCGGTCCCTTTATCTGGGTCCGAGAGTGAAGACAACTTATAGATAAATGAGGGAAAAAAACCCTTTGTGATTGTAAGCAACTGAAATTTAGTGGTTCTTTGTTACATGTGTAACAAAGCAAAAGCTGACAAATACATCCCCAACTTTGTTTTTCTATGCCAATGTCCTCTCCTCTCATCTTAGATTTTGTTATTTTTTTTTGCAAAGCTGGGTCTGTGATTCATTCAGGAGGGGGAAACACTGAAAGGATTTGCTTCAATTTAATATTCTGTTATTTAATTTTAGGTTATTACATGTTTATGAGAAAATTTTCTAAATTCTAAATCTATGTTATTAATTTTGGGGGAGATGGTGGGTAATAGATTGCTTAAAGTTGCACTAATACAGTAGCTACTAGTCACAGGCGGCAATTGCAATTAAATTAGATTAAATTAAAAGCTCAATTCCTTATACCATTAGCCATATTTCAAGTGTTCAATAGCCACATGTGGTTAGTGGCTACCATATTGGACAGTACAAATATATATTTCCATCATTGCAAAAAGAAAAGGCCTGTTAGTGCTGTTCTAGAGAATTTGTTGAGACCTGCATATGCAAATTTGAGGCCTGTACAAATTCCATGACCTTAGTATGGATCTTAGGTAAATCCCTTCCTATAGTTAGCATGCCCTACCTTATTTTGGGGTCAGTATCTGACCTTGAAATAACTGAAAAATTACGAGTCTACAAAATTCTGTGACTGCCTGGATCTTGACTGTGGGTCCTACAGCCATTAATCCATGCAATGTCAAGCAGCCACAACAGGAGAAAAGCTGGTTTTTAAAAATATGCTTTAGTGCCTTTGGCTCAGGAATGCTGTATCTTTTTTTTTTTTTTCAGTGTTTTTTATTTATTTTTGGGACAGAGAGAGACAGAGCATGAACGGGGGAGGGGCAGAGAGAGAGGGAGACACAGAATCGGAAACAGGCTCCAGGCTCCGAGCCATCAGCCCAGAGCCTGACGCAGGGCTCGAACTCACGGACCGCGAGATCGTGACCTGGCTGAAGTCGGATGCTTAACCGACTGCGCCACCCAGGCGCCCCAGGAATACTGTATTTTAAAAGTAGCCATTGTAAATGCAAGGCATGAAGGCAGCTACATTTAAAGAAGAGGCTGCCTCTATCTTTTCTTATTCACCACTAGAGGAATGGATTGTGTGGGAGGGGTGGGTAGAAAGGCAAGCGGAGGCATTTTTCCATGAAACATAGACATGTAAAAATAATACCAGCAATAGTTTACGCCTAGTAGTTCTCAAATACTTGAAATCTGCCCGCCCCCCCCCCCGAATTCTTGCAAGGAGAAGAAGATTATTTTCCTTTTTAGGCTGGCAAACCCAATCTCCTATAAATAAATTGCCCAAGATCAAACAGCCCGTAAATGACCAAATCAGGACTTTAAGTTTGGCCTAGTACTATTCCTTAGGCTACCTTCCCAATTTGTTCTCACTTTCCTGCATGTTGATAGATGGTGTGGTGAACTGTGAAGGCTGTTTGGGCACTTTTAATAGTCCTGCACATGCCAGGAGCTGTCCAGATCCAGACTTGTAAGTGAGGTCTCCAGTGCTTACCAATAGCTATAGCTCAGGCTCTGGGACCACAACATAAATGGTGGTATATAGACCTGAAACTTATAACACAGTTGCAGATAAAAGGTAAGGTGAAGGCTCAAAGAAAGGAGTGAAAAAGTGTGCCGGTGATTGAAGGAGAGGTGGTTTGCCTAAGGTGAGGCCTTTTGCCTTGCAGATGGGGAACCCAGAAATATTTAGGTTTTTTTTTTTTTTTTTTTTTATGTAACAGGAAAAAGAAATAATCTGTGCTAAGGAGAGTAGAAGACTAGGTTTGAGGGCAGCCTGAGTGGCTCAATGGGTTAGGGGTTAAGCAGCAGACTTGATTTTGGCTCAGGTGTATGGAGCCTGCTTCTCATCTCTCTCTCCCTCTCTCTATCTCCCTCTTCCCCTCTCACTCTTGCTCTCTCTCAAAATAAACAAACTTAACATTTTTTTAATTAAAAAATACACTAATAAAAAGAAGAGGTTTGATAAAGGCCAGGTCCAGGAAATTATTACAGACTGCAAAAAACTCCCAACACTCAACCCCATGCACCAAAAAGCGTCACTTATGTGTGAATTGCAGTAATTACCAAACCACAATACAAACAGCACATATATGTGTTTCACAAAGTTGATCCGCGGTTTAAGGGCAGATGAAAAATTTTATCCAACTCGGAGAGCCTGGTGAACCTGGCGGGGGTGCTAAATCTGAGATGGTTCCAAAGAGCCAGGGATTGGGGCTCGCTCTCGGCTGCGAACGGACCTCATTCTGCTTTGAGTCCCCAGTGATCTCAAGGTACGGATGATTGCCAAGGGTTACCCGCCGCCTGGGTCGGAGAAGCGAGGGGGGGGGGGGGCGAGCGTTGCTGGGCACTGTAATATTGGGAGCTGCCCAGGTGCAGAGCACACACGGGAAGGGCGCCTGGGGGACTGGATGAGGAAAGCGGTGCCCAGGACGGAGCTCACCTGCCCGGAAGGTTCCAGCGGACCTGCTTTGTCTTGGAATCTGAAGTTAGAGTATGTAAGACAGAATGCCCAGGTAGGGGAATCAGGTATCGCAGGGACATCTCGGACCTTCGAGCCACAGGGCCTTGGATCCTAGTGCACGTTCCCCTCTTTCCAAACTAGTTGTTTCAGTCTCCCGAGCCTCAGTTTTCTCGTAGGTGGTTACGATTTCAGCACACAGCCCGCAGAAGACAGTCAACGCGGCTCTAAGTCCCGCCGCCGCGATCTGAGCGCCGTCACAGTTTCTCCCCCGGAGGGCAGGTGTGGTTCCTGCGACTGTGGCAGGACGCAGGACTGAAGGGCCTTCTCGAAGGCGTGGAGATTTTGAAGATGGTGGAATTCTCAGAGGTTTCCCTTCTCTCCCCCATCCCCTTTTCCAGATTCCCCTGCTTTTCACCCTAACTAGCTGGTCCCTCGGTGCCCGGGGGGGCCCATTTCCAGTCTCAACCGTGCCAGACGCACGTGGCTGCGCAGCCGGCCACAGACACTCGAAAACTCGGAGCCTGGCGGTCCTGGGGACTTTCCAGGGCCCCTAGACGGCAGGGTAGGTAACCGAATGACTGAACGCGGGAAATGCTCGTTCGGAGGCTACAGGAAACGGCGGGCGGCGGAGTCGGCGGGGGTAGCACAGCGGGAGCGGGTGGGAGGAGCGGCCGGGAGGAGCGGCCGCGAGGAGCGGCCGCGGAAGGGGAGGGCCCGGCGCGCTGCGAGAGCATAGCGCCCCACTCCCAGTCCCGGAGGCTGGGGGGCGGGATATGGCTCCGCGCTCTCCGCCAGCGCCGGGGACCGTCCGTCGTTAGAGGACGGTCAGAAGAACCCAGAGATCGTTTATGTGTCGAGTTGTGGATGTTACTGACGTCGTTTGCTGCGTGCGTGCGAAGCTCCTGCCCTTCGAAGTCCCGTTGTCAGCATATCGTCTGGTGCCTGCCTACGTTACTCCCTTAGCAGGGTGGAGGCCTTAACCCAGTGGTCCTCGAGATTTCCTGGAACTCTAAACTATACATTGATACAGGGTTTTGCCGACGGTGACGACCTCCCCACGAGAACACGCCCAGCGCCTGGTGCAGAGCCCCAACTTCTACTTCGTGAACGTGAAGTGCCCCGGGTGCTGCAAAATCACCACAGTGTTCAGCCACGCTCAGACGGTGGTGGTGTGCGTGGGCTGCACCACCGGCCTGTGCCAGCCGACCGGAGGAAAAGCAAGGCTCACGGAAGGATGCTCCTTCGGACGGAAGCAGCACTAAAAGCACCCTGAATCAACATGAGTGGGAAACTATACCAATAAGCAGATTTTGGATCCAAAAAAACTCAAAACTGTACATTGTTACAGCCTGGGTGGACTCTGACCCCGAGTGCTCCTTTCTTTCGTAACCTAAAGCTCATAACTGGTCCTTCCTGCCGGCTGGCCTTGTGGTACCCTGGCTGTCCCCGGCTGTGGTTTAGCGTCCCCTTCCCTTCACGGGCCAGAGTGGAGAAATGCTGACGGTATTCCAGAGGTGCTTCGATGTCTTAATCGTGGCGAAAGACATCCCGGGATGCGGAGTACTGATCTTCATTATTGGATGGCCCTTTTACCAGTACCTTGCGATGCTCCTGAGTACGACAATGGCTTCTCAGCTTCGGATCCGAAATCGAGGTGAGTAGCTTCAGGGGCCCTGGTGCGGAAAGCTTCATTTGCCCAGGGATCTGGGAAGGGGGCTTTCGCTTTCCGTATCTTTCTGGCTCACTCCACTTCTTTAGTGTAAGAGTCTGGGACAGTTCTGAAAACAGTCACTAAATCTAAATATCCCTGGGTGTGGGCCCTGGCGCCTGAGTAGGAAGAATGAGATGCGATTGGGAAGGAGTCTGTGGCTAGACTGAATGTGGAAAATCTAGGATATCTGTGCACGCCAGGCTTAGAAGTCCCCAGTGAGTTCTCTGGGCAGCTCCTTCAGGGGTCAGGCTTCTGCCAGATCTCTTTTGTGGATATACTAGATACCCTAGGCCAGCGGATTTCAAAACGTAGTGCATCGTCCCTCCTGCAGAGGCCGAGTCACCTGGAACTTGTAAAAAATGCAAACTCTGGCGCCCATCCCATACCCACAGAATCAGAAATTTTGGAGGTGGGGCTCAGTAACTTGTGTTTTAGCGAGACTGCAGATGATTCTGATGCATGCCAAAGTTGGAGAACCACTGCTCTGGGGTCATCACCACAAAACATGCACGTGACCAGCTGCTTTCTTTTTAGCCACTTTTTAGATGGTTGCTAAATTCTGCGGGGACCTCCACGCTCAGTTTAAGGCTGGGGCCTGTCTGGAATCCCTTACTCCCTTATCCAGACAACATGCTTGTGGCTGACCTCGGGACAGGAATGACATTGCTTGCAGAAGAAGTGCTGGCCAGGCAATAGGAGGCCAAGGCTCCATCCAGTTTTGTTTTGTGCCATGAAAGATGGGGATGAGGATGGGTGTGGGGGCATCTGTTCTTAATTGTGTCACGTTCAAGTTTTTGCAAACTCGAATTTTTTTTTTTTTACATCTAAGTTAATTAGTATATAGTGCAACAATGATTTCAGAAGTAGATTCCTTAATGCCCCTTACCCATTTAGCCCATCCCCCTCCCACAACCCCTCCAGTAACCCTGTTTGTTCTCCATATTTAAGAGTCTCTTATGTTTTGTTCCTTTCCTTGCTTTTATATTATTTTTGTTTCCCTTCCCTTATGTTCATCTGTTTTGTCTCTTAAAGTCCTCATATGAGTGAAGTCATATGATTTTTGTCTTTCTCTGATTGACTAATTTTACTTAGCATAATACCCTCCAGTTCTATCCACGTAGTTACAAATGGCAAGATTTCATTCTTTTTGATTGCCGAGTAATACTCCATTGTATATATATATACCACATCTTCCTTATCCATTCATCCGTCGATGGACATTTGGGCTCTTTCCATATTTTGGCTATTGTTGATAGTACAAACTCGAACTTTTAAGAGCCATTTCAATGGTTTTATAATAAATAATTTTCACTGGCTTTGTGTTGATCAGTGTTTCTTCCAGATTATGATGGGGGAAAGACAAAATTTTTCAAAATATGTTTTCAGCTTCTCACTTTTGGGGGCCGTGTGAAATTTTTTTCGGACCAGTTCCTCAATGCCCCCCTGCTGTAGAATCAATCTCTCCTTTCTTGCCTGGTTCTCTGCCAGTAAGAGTGGAGAGTTTAAAGGAGGGAGTTGTCTGTTGGGAATACTGCCTAGCAGTCTAGTCAGATGAGGGCAAAGAACTGCTCCTTGGTTTGTGTGCACAGGGCTTTCTGCTAGCTTTTGTAGAACAGTTCAGTTGCCACTCTGGGGTTCTTAGAAACTAGGTTGGAATGAGTTGAAGGACTTAAATGGAGATGCACATGAAGTATGTCTAGTAGACTTTTTTGACAAGTGGAACTGATGAAGCTCCTGGATAGTAAAACCTGGATAGTTTTTTGTTGAGGTGGGGAAAAAGAAATAGCTGGCAATGGAGAAGGAGCTTGTCATTTGCTGTAGAAAAGGACAGAATGTTGGGTCAGGGTAGGGATGACACGATGGAAGGGAGAGGCTAACAATCTGGAGGCAGAAGGGGATAATTGAGGCCTTCAAGCCCTTGTGAAAGCAAGAGGGATATTGCCCAAAGCCATGGTGGAGGGACCAGGTCCTGTGAGGTGGAGGAACATACATAACAGGAAGCCAGAAGGGTGAGGATTCAGGAGGCTTTGTGGAGAATCATTCTGCCTAAAGAGAAAGGATACTCTTACATATACCTGTTTGATATCTGATTACTTATTCTATGACTATTAACATTTCTCTAATAAAACTAAATACATATATACTCCTTCATAATAACCCAAAATATATGTATTTATAAATGTAATTTGCTTAAATTTTAAAATGATTATTTTTTTATTAAATTTTTTTTTAATGTTTATTTATTTTTGAGACAGAGACAGACAGAACATGAAAAGGGGAGGGTCAGAGAGAGAGGGAGACACAGAATCTGAAACAGGCTCCAGGCTCTGAGCTGTCAGCACAGAGCCCGATGCGGGGCTCGAACTCACGGACTGAGAGATCATGACCTGAGCCGAAGTCGGACGCTTAACCGACTAAGCCACACAGGCGCCCCTAAAATGATTATTTTTAATGAAACTTCTAAAATGTAATTAGGTCACAAATCTAATATTTTAGATTCTCTTAAATGCTAAAAGCTTTAAAAAGGAGCCAAAAGGTTTTCAAAATACATTGGCTAACATTTGAAAGTTTAAGTGCTAGATATGTTCTGTTTTAGATGTGTGATCTTATTCAATATTCAAAACAACCCATAAGATGGGTGCTTAGGTCATTCCCTTGGAACTTAGACACAGAGAAACGAAGCCACTTGGCCATGGTCACACAGCCTGTGAGTGGAAGAGTTAGAATTGGAATCTAGGCTTTTATGTTGTCTTGCTCTTCTATTACAGTGAGTACAAAATATAACAGTTTCATTAAAACTAGAGAAATGCTAGTATCAAGACTTTAGTTTCTTCATTATCTCTGTACTTATTTTAATACCTGAGTGGAGCACAAGTTTTATATGTATAATATATATATATTATATATAATATATAAAATATATATGTTATATATTATATATAAGTTATATATAATATATATGTCTTATATATATTATATATATAATATATATTATATATGTAACTCTAGGAATGCATCATTATATATATATTATTATATATATAATGATATTTATGATATATTCCCAGAGTTGCAATAATATTACCCAGAAATAAGTTTATGCTTTCTTTGGATTTCAGTAAAATTTTTTTTTTTAATTTCTTTTTTATTTTTTATTTTTGGGACAGAGAGAGACAGAGCATGAACGGGCGAGGGGCAGAGAGAGAGGGAGACACAGAATCGGAAACAGGCTCCAGGCTCTGAGCCATCAGCCCAGAGCCCGACACGGGGCTCGAACTCACGGACCGCAAGATCATGACCTGGCTGAAGTCGGACACTTAACCGACTGCGCCACCCAGGCGCCCCTGGATTTCAGTAAATTTTTAAGATCCCAAAAGGAAAGTAAAACCCTCTCAGATCAGACATATTGGTAGCTGATGGATTCTGGAAGGAAACTGGACCTTGTTTCATAGGGTAGTTCTGTGAAAACTTAACTCATAATTAAACTGAGTGCCTTTTTTTTTTTTTTTTTTTTTTTTTTTTTTAAAGAAGGCTCTATGCCCGGCATGGATCCCAATGCAGGGCTTGAACTCATCAACCTGAGATCAAAACCTGAGCTGAGATTAAGAGCTGTATGCTCAACTGACTGAGCCACCCAGGTGCTTCTAGGCTAAGTGCCATTTTATAGTCAAGTGTAGCAACCACTCGTTAAGTCTCATTTTACTTAAAATTTTAGTTCCAAGGAGTGCCTGGCTGGCTCAGTTGGTAGAACATGTTACTCTTGATCTTGGAGTGGTGAGTTTGTTGGGTGTAGAGTTTGCTTAAAAACAATTTAGTTTCAAAAATATGTAATGCATGTACATGCAGATTCAGAAGATACAAAAGGGTATGTAGAGAAAGGTAAGCCTCTCATTTATTGCCCTTCAAGAGATATTATGTCTGTCTATATATGCATATTTTGTATGTACATATACAGATGTATTTTAATGTGTGGCAGGATATTTCATACATTGATCTATACTTTTATTTTAAATTTTTAGCTAATTTTATTTATTTTTTTTTAATTTATTTTTTTTTTAAATTTTTTTTTCAACGTTTATTTATTTTTGGGACAGAGAGAGACAGAGCATGAACGGGGGAGGGGCAGAGAGAGAGGGAGACACAGAATCGGAAACAGGCTCCAGGCTCCGAGCCATCAGCCCAGAGCCTGACGCGGGGCTCGAACTCACAGACCGCGAGATCGTGACCTGGCTGAAGTCGGACGCTTAACCGACTGCGCCACCCAGGCGCCCCTAAATTTTTAGCTAATTTTAAACTTACAAAATAATTGCAAAAATACTACAGAGTTCCAGTATATCCTTCACTGAACTTCTACTTAAGTAAACATTTTATATAACAGAACATTTTTCAAAACTAAGAAATCATTTGGATTGCAACAGTTGTTCCACTGATGCAGTTTTTTCCCTTAAATCTTTAAAAAAATTTTTAAAGATTTAAAAAAGTGTTTATTTTTGACAGAGAGAGAGAGAGAGGGTGAGTAGGGAAGGGGCAGAGAGAGAGAGGGGGAAAGACGATCCAAAGGCGGCTCCACGCCCACAGCGGTGAGTCCAACTCGGGGCTTAAACCCACGAACCACGAGATCATGGCCTGCACCGAAGTCAGTGGCTCAACTGTCTGAGCCACTCAGGCACCCTAAAGGCTTTTAATTTTTAAGTAATCTCTACACCCAGCGTGGGGCTTGAATTTACATTCCCAAGATTGAGATCGAAAGTCGCATGTTCTACTGACTGAGTCAGCCAGGCGCCTCTCCTATCTCCTAATGTAGTTTTTCTGTTTGAGGATCCAATTTAGGATCCCACATCATATTTAGTTGTCTTGTCTCCTTTGTTTCTTCTCATCTTTGACAGTTCCACAGTCTTCCCTTGTCTTTCATGACCTTGACATGGTATATGGATAAATACCAG